TGGGATGTAATCCATGGCATCGGAAATGGACTGATCTATACGGAAATTATACTCACTGCGACAGGAATACTATTGTTATTAAGGCAGACTGTAGAATTAGATTTCGACTAATCGGATGAATAATAATTACGTAATATTATAAATTATATCTATGGCAATGAGATGATGTTTTACTTCGATATATATATAACGACAATGTTATTTTATTTTTGTTATTATAATATTTTAATGTTTTCCTTCCGTATTTATGTCGATCGTTGGTATACATCAATCGTGGCGTCGCAAGCTTTTGCGAGGCCCTAGGCATAAACAAAACAATTTCCTTAAACCTAAATGTACCTAACTATTCTAACTTGTCGAATTTTGGGCATCTGAATTTATATTAAGTGTGAGGCCCAAGAAAATTTCTTCAGTGCCTTAAAAATGACGACACTGCGTGTAGGAGATCTGTGGAGGTACTACGTGGTTTGATGGAAATCAAAATAATCACCCTTCGGTACATTTTTTAATAATATTCTGTACAGAAACAACATACAATATTGCGGAAACAATCGCAAGACGATGTCCCTATCAGAATTATACACGTACACCGTGCGCCGGACGGATACAATAAAAAAAAAAAAAATTGTTGTTATTTTTAGATGGAGATTTTCAAAACGAAACCACATTAAAATATTATTCGTGCGTCTACGAGTCAAAAAGATATCTACGTTAAATAAAATAATTGTTTGCTCAATAATTGATAAATTATACATACATTGGTATAATTATTATTTCGTTAATTCATAACCAACGCGAACATGACGGACGTTAACAAATAAACCGCGCAGTATACCTTCATGTTTTCTATTACATGTAAGCAAGTAAATGTGTTAAAATCTGTTTGCGTATAATATTAAACATACAATGACATTGGTCGGCGAATAATAATATGTAGTAGAGAACAGTTACCCGCCCATTGAGCAGCAACAACTCGCAGTATACGTTACAATTACAGATATTATAGGTATGTTCGTATATTTTACAGATATATAAATATAAATATACGACTACAAATCGCGCAATGCAGTTCGTAGTAAATGTGCAATCTACTGGCAGTCATAGTTTTTTTGATATTTTTAACGGATATAATATTTTTGCTACTGTCGCCACGCACCAATCATGGCGTATCCTGCTCGAGAATTTAATCGTTTGTAAAGGCCTCGCCTCGAGCATATCATGAAACATTATTCAATCAATACCTTTATTATTAGTATTCATCGATTTCGATTAAATTTTCGCTAGCGATTTTTTTTCTCGTGCAAATTTACATGCTCACGAATAACTCAACCGCACTTGGCAATATGTTCTTGATTGATCGAACGTACCGATCCTGGATCACATTTAACGGTGTTAATATTCCGTTGCTGTATACCACTAATAACACCAAAACGCACGATTATCGGCGCTGATTCCGAATAGTCTACGTCGTGTACGAGGGTATATCCGGGTGTTTACCCCCGAATATTTATATAATATTATAATCATTAACTGATACCTCATATGAATTGTTATAATATCATGAAATCACCTAGTTTTTTAGAAAACTGTAAACCTCTGATAAAAAAAAAATGTATAACACCCTACTGCGTACACCGATAGGTTGAGAGATTTGAAGAAATTGTAGTCCATGTGTTTGACGTGAGAATAAAAATAAAAATATAACACCAATAAAATGATACAAAGTGGAATGTTTTTATGAATCACAAGACAAACGGATCGTGCCCACTTACAAGAATTGAATAATAATAATGGAAATAATACGGACGTAAATATGCTCCAACGGCACAAAATAACAATATCGACAAACTGTTATCAATGACATACACACGCGATATTACCAACTGTTCTACCGTTGATCGCTGGATCGGACCCTACACCGGATATGGTAGGTTTCGGCCCAACTCGTTATAAATTCATAATCGTCTCCTTATAGGTTCATAGACATATATTTTGTAATACGTTTAATGGGCTCGTTCCAGATTATTGAACATATTAACCAAAACCGATCGCAGTTTAATGATCGACATGTTACTTTCTATTAAAGCTCGAATTCGGTCTGGACCACTGAATTGTTCACGGAAACTCATACGTTCTATCTGGACCTGATTTGGAAGTATAATATTATATAATATTTATTCCTATATCGGAACAGAAAGCTCAGCACTAATTACCCAATCGATTGAAGATAGAGTCGTTAAATAATTCAATATGAAACATAAATCATTACGTCTTATACGGTCGTGTTTATAAATAATTATAATTAAATACAATATGCAATAGTTGTTATACTTGTTTAAATTCCAGTTTTCTTGTCTACTTATTGGCGATTATTATTTGGTTCATTTTTAGGATGATGGCTACATTAAATAAGGTTAGTGAGTAATGCTCACAATTAAAAACATTCTAACTTTATGTATTGCACTGTAGTTATACTTAACGGGTAGTGATTAAAGTGGGAGGGGGGTACGGAGAGGAACAGAGTCCCTCTTCTTATTTAAGGTAAGTATATGCGTCCTCTTTAATTTAAATCGTCAAAATTCCGGGTGGACGCTTAATGGCATTGGTCACTAAAATACAATATTGAATATACAATACTTATTATAATATTACAATATTACATGAAATTTATTTTTTTCATTTATTTGAACAAGTGGAAAAAATATCGGAGAAATAATATTTAGGTTTAACGATAAGCAAAAATGGTAGATAATGTACACCATGGGTTAATTTAATTTACGCTATGTCTAATTATAGATGATCCTCGAGCTGTTATTACCCATAGCTCTAAAATTAAAGTGATAGTGATATCGACTGTTATTTAGAATAAATATAAACAGAATAGAATAACTATAAATAGTATAAATATTAAATTATGATAGATAGACACTATCTTATAATATAGACAGTATATACCTTATGTGCAATGTACGTATTTGTTACTGTCTACGTTGACCAACAACTAGCAAGGTTTGTAATTGTTTCTTTATAGTTTTGTTAAGTTTAAGTTAAGTTTTTTAAACATTACCTACTATGTATTTCAATTTATTTTATTTTGAGCAGGCATATGTATAGAATTATTTTTCTTTGGAGGAAATTTGTTTTTACACCCTATAAAAATAAGGTTGGTAAGATTTAAAATTAGGAAGGAGAACACTCCTCAATTTTTGATTAATATCGTCCCCTACAAAATTTTCCCTACTTTAATCACTGTTAACAGGTATTAAGCACTTAATACATGTCAGGGTATTCCAAATGTCAAACTGAAAACAGAATAAATTAATCAATGTAAATATAAATGATGCATTAAGCTAAATGCATTACGGTTAGGTAACTTTTATGCCATACTACTTGAATATATAAATAACAAAATGCTAATATTCACCGATCAATATCAAATGGATAGGTAAAAATGGCTTTGGCAGAAGACTTTGCTAACAATTGCCTTGTTATAATTTACAATTTACAATGTTTAGATGTGGAACTATTTTAATAAATATATTGATCTTAGGACTACATTTGTTTTAAATCATAACATAATTTAACAGAGCATTGACACAAGAGAATTATGTTTTGAATTTAAAAAAAGTTATTGTAATTAATATTACTTAATTAAATTATCTATTATAATGGTATGGTTAAATTGTAATATTAAAAATATTTTTGTCAACATTTATTATACATGATGATATGACATACATTCAAGTATAAATAGTATGATATAAATATTTTTTAAATATATTTATTATTATAAATAAATTATTTATAAATTATAATTAATAATATAATCAATTTTAATTATTTATTATAAATATATTTTAAATAATTTACCGACAGCAAAATGTATCTATTATTAATAAAAAAAAACTAAACGTACAATCAACCTGTCTTCAAATGAACTGTTTAATTAATTATTTTTGAAACAAAATTAGGGTGGTATTACACCTTTGTTTATATCTACAATGACAGTTTAAAATATATATGACTATTTTTTTTAGTTCTAGATTTTAGAGTTTTAGGGGAAGGATTTTTTTCAGTTGCAATTGTTTATAATGTTGGACAAAGGAACACAGAAGTTGCTCTTTGTTCTGGGCCCTCCTAAAACAGTCGTACCCTAAATTTGGTCCTTCACTTGACATTATTAAAATTATATTGTGACACATAACTATTTATTAAACATCGTTTTCTTTTTTTTCCTTACGTTTGTTTAAAATTGTTATCTGTTTTAATAGGTATAAAACATTGTAATGAACTAGGAGCTAAATAAAAAAAAAATTAAAATAAATACTTCTGAAATTTAAATGGTATTCAACAATGTTCTGTAGGAGTAAATTAACTGGAGGTCGATAATGGAGCGTACAAGATATTAATAATAATAGATATGACGAGTATAATAAATTAAAACAATTATGTGAGTGTGTGCTGTAGGTCAATGCAATTGTTTTGAAAAAAAAAAAAAATTCGCGGCACCATTACATGCTACAGTAGTTATAAAATGATTGTTAACATAGTTATATAGTTGAATTATGTAGTTAATCTTATTACGCATAATTATAATTGATTATTATAGTTGTCTTATTATTTTAGATGTAATTTTTTTTTCTTTAACCCATTTTTAGAATCATTATCTATCAAACTATTATAGCATAAAATTAACGAATTTTAGGCAAAACGAACGAACGCTGTGTACGTTATCTCTTAATGAAATGGGTGGTTTCTTTATTTTTTAGTAGAAAAAAAATTGTTTTATTTTCAAAACGGGTACGTCTACCGAATACTCGTTTTGTTCGCAGTAATAAAGACGCCTTAAAACCGATAATTATTGTACACGTAAAAAAACCGTACTTGAAATTATTGTAAACATGGTACGCCTAGAACCGTGTAGTATTTGTTTCTACTACTATTGCGTCGATATCAGCCGGTCGTTCTTATCACAACTCGCACTTTATCAATTTATCATTTGTTATTATCGTTGTTAAAAATACTAATATTTTTATTTATTGTTTCTTTTTTTTGTTCGTTGTTACGTTTTAACATACCGTTTGTGTGTTTTGTTTGAAACAAACCGTTATTATCACGATATGATAGCATAGCAGTAGTTTACTGTCAACTCCATTGACTACGAGTTCACGTTGAAATATATACGCCCAATTTTGAAGCGTTTATTAGGTATGTACACGATTTTATTGAACGTTCTGTCATTATAGTAGCAAGTGGTTTATGAATATTACTCCAGCCTCATAATTATTGCCGTTTCAGTAGTTATATCGTGCGAATCCCGAACGTCCGTAGTAATATAAAATACGTTTTCTCAAGTGTACGAGTGTTTTATTATTACTACTAAATGTAATGTTCTATTCCGTCTATTGGTTTTGGTTAAATGCAATTCCAGTTTGTGGACAAAACGAATAAATTGAGTTTCCTTATTTAAAACGCTCTAACGCAAGTAATTCATTTTAAAAACATTTCACATAAATCGCTTATTGTACCTACACTATTACACGAACTACAAGAGCAGTTTGTAATTGATTTACATCATGCTCGTATGCTGACGTAATACAATGTTACAAATATATTAACAAATTTGCGAATGAAATGATTATTGTTGCCATTTATGAACGAACTCGTGAATAGTTCTAAAAAAATAATTTATTTGTCAATTTTCGGTAAAAGCTGACTTAAAAATATTAATTTGTTAATTCATTTCAATTTAAAATATAATTTAAATATTTTCGTGCATTCTACGGGTGTATTTTGTATTACAATGTAATAGTTATTACGAATGAATGTTTTTAGTGCTAAATTATTGTGCAAATATTCACAGTTTAATATCTTGTAGTATAAAACAATACTCGATGAGCAATAATAATTATTTACATGAGTAGCGATTTAGGAAAGTATTACGTTAAATAAGCACACATGGTGAATTTAAAATATTACCAGAATGTACCTGTTAATTATATTTGTTTTATTTTTTCAATACTTTATCATCACAGTTGATATCTATACAGGATGTTTACAATTTATTTAAATTATACATAATGTGAACAAATAATATTGAAGGCTTACAGTACACGTTGTAGAAAATAATAGTTTTTAATTAGCGTATTAATATTTACTTATATATTGTATTATTTTTAAAATTGATTGAGTATTTTAGATAATCAATTTCCAAGTCAATATTAATTAATTCGTTTTTAAAAAAATTAGAAAAAGTATTCTACTTTATTCTTGAATAAAAAAAATAACAAAATAATTAAAGGTTCGAAATTGTATTATATAATTACGAATAGCTCTATATATATTTAGATGAACCATAATTTTGTTATATACTTCGATTTTTTAGTTTATGTTATTGTTATTTTGATTTAAAATAAATCCCTGTAAAATGGTTATTTTTGGAGATTTATTTTTATACAACCTGAAAGTAGTTGTGAAATATTGAGCAAACACTTAATTATATTTTGATAACGTTTCATACAAGTTAGATAGTAAAGAATAATTGTGTAAGTGTTAATGATCTATTTCACAATGTTTTAAAAATATATACGAATATAAAAATCGTTGAAAGGAGTAATTCGTTTGTGAGTTGTTATACTTTCATTGAGCGCAATTTATTCGAAACCAAGCTTTTACGAATGTCTATTTTAAAATAAAATTTTATTTTATTTCGATCAAATTATTAGTTATTGTTACCGGGACGGTCTTATTGTGCAATATAAAATATCCGATGTATTTACTCTACGGTACATGATATCAATACATTAATATGTATACCAACGGAAAAATTAAATATTCGAAGAATGTGTAAAATGTAAACTTGGAACTACATAGTATGCAACATGTTGACTTTTATAGTTTTATTTTTCTAGTTTAATATAACCATTTTATACAACGTTCTTAGAAATATATATATTATATATAAGTAATATTTATTATAAAATTATATGACAAAAAAATACTTATCCAATAGTTACAATATTATGACATCAATAATGTCTGTTGTAACCATTAAGTAATATTATAATCTAATAAATTATGTATACATACAGTAATATGTTGCATAGAAATCATAATAAGTTTGTAGGTTAAATGTTTATTTCTAAAGGTTTTATTCTACGCAATTGAACTAGGTTATTTGGTTGTTTATTCCAAACAATTATTGTCTCAGATTATCATCGTTGAACTTGTTTTCTTTAATCTATCTCATCCGTATTACGACTGTGAATTAATCTCAAATGCAAATGCATAACTTCCGTTTGCTGTTTTATTTATCATTATTTCCACTGCTTTTCACGTGCTAATGTTTCGCACGGGTAGTTTTATAATAATTTGTAAAGTATTAAATCCGTCAAATGAAAAAAAAAACTAGCGATGATCACTGGAGGAAGTTATTTTTTCACTACTATTCAAAATAATCGTTTATTATTTTTTATTTTTTTTAAAACATGCTTTCGTTCACTGAGACTTGGACAAAGTGCTTCCGTTGCAAGTCACCGTGTACTTACCGACTAAATAAAGCTAAGCAGGAGTGTATTGACCTGAACAAACACCTGGTAACAATGATTTAATCTCATCGGGTCTAAGTAAACATACAACATTCAAATTAATAAGTATCTATACATTTGGAGAGGGTCAAGAGGAGAGGCATTGAAGAAAAAGGGCATAAGTCATTTTTTCCCTCGGCAATCGGCTGGTTGGTTTTTTATGTTCATAGTGTAAACATCTCTTTTGGGGTTCTCATTAATGATTTATTATTACTGCTGTGTTTACGTTTTATTGTCATTATTATTGTATTTGCATTATTTTCTATGCGATGCCATTGTTAAAGAAATTAATTTATTGATCCAAAAAATAAAAATGAGGTACTGTACTCAATAATAAAAAGTCTTCCCTGCTGAAATGTTATTCATCATGTGAACTTCAAAGATATTTGTGTTCCGAAATAAGATGGAATAAAAACTTAATTAATATCAAAAATTTTTGAACTATATTTGTATAGTTGTTTAAATATGGATTGTACTTGTTGATTACTTGTGCACTAGTTTTATAGTATAATAGTTGCTAGTTATGTTGTTTCTAAAATAACTCTAAACCACAATTTACTATAAATATATAATTTTAAATCATTATAATATACTCTGATCAATTGTTTATTGTAGAAGAAAAATAATTTATTTAATTTTTAATTTTGATTATGTTGTTTAAAATGTATTATACAATTCATTGTATTGATTAAATAATTTGCCTGTATGTTATAGATAAATGTAAATCAAGTAAAGGTTAAGTACTAAGTATAGCTATTATGTGTTTCAGAAGTTCTTATAATAGAAAATATAGGGAAAAACATTATTTTTTACTACATCATATGTTGAATATAATTATATATTTTCAATATTAGAAGTTTTATTATGTACATAATATTGTTATTGATTTAGTATTGTTTGCCATCCCAATGATGCATATGTTATTATTTTAAAATTCAAAATATGTTTTATATGTAAGTCATGTATTTATTAACACGAATGAAAAAATAAATACATATATAATGCTGAAGCTTCAGTTCCATGGTTGTTTAGTATTCTTCTTGATAGTCCATTGTTTTTTGTTTTTTTTTTTTTTTTGTTTCTTTCATATCGGGTGGTCATAGCACCAAGATATATCGTCCAGACGTTCGCTACGTGACAGGTAAATGCTTTTAGATTATTTTTCTTTACTTTTTTTAATTGACATATTTATTATACTATGTATTGAAAAATTGCAGAAGAATTAATGAGATGATTTTAATTTTTGAATTACAATATTTTATTGAGCTGTCCAAGACAGAGAATAATCAATACAGGTATATCTATAAAAAATGAAAAAAAGGTATTTTTGCTACTAGTTCCATCAATATCTTAAATACTAATGCTTAAATAAATGTAGATGGTAAAACAGGTAAAATTACAACAAAAAAAAAAAGAAAAATGTTAAACATCATATATTATTCTTACTTTATCATACTTTACATACTCAGTTTATATTGTTACTGCACTTTTCTGAAATTAACATCTTAAAATGTTTGGACCTAGAAACAATTATTTCTTTGTGTTTATGACATGACATTTACAATGTAGGTATAGATAATTTAGACTTAAGCATAATAATAATATAAATAATATTCAAGTATTCATGATATATATAAACACAATATAATTACTATAATTTAGTTTGATTTTAAGACATTTATATATTGAATACTCACACTTAAAACCAGTGTAAATTATCTACATATCAATTTCTAACAAGCAATAATATACCATTAAAATAGATTTATTTCGAATAACGATTTTTTTTTTAACTATGTTTTTTTATTCTGTATTCTAGCTATGTGTAGTTGATGTTTACATTTGAAATTTATTTATCCTGTAAAACAACGAATTTTCTCCAATACAATGAATACTACGTACATGAGACGTGGATTGACCAAGGCAATAGCCGAAAACGCTTTACTCGCCGAGTCATTGAAAAACTTAAACAAAGCTACCGTAAGTATATTTATTCGCATTATTTTCATTATATAATATTCAGTAAATTATGTGTTAATTTATGTAAATTGATAAATTAGATTGTGAAGTGTAACATTTTGTTGTTTGGTCGATCGCCTACCCTCATATTATAAACATATTCACAAGATATTTATTTAAATATAAATAAGCATAATATTATGATTATGATTAGTATATGCGTTTTTTTCTGATCTTTGACATATTACACTTTGTTTGCGTGCCATGTGGATATATATTTGTTTATATAATACATTTGAATCGTTCGGTGATTATGGTTTTTAATGTTCTTCGTAGCTGTTTGTAAAACTGTTCTTGATCGTACAAATGATAATCACGTGCACATATGCTGTATGCAAATACCTTAATATATTATGCATATATGTATACAATACGTAGCGAAATTTTCGGGTATTGCTTTATGTCATAAATAAACTGAAACGCATTGTTTTCTAAACCAATGGAAAATAGTATTTGTAAAATTATGGACGAATATTTTCTCTATTAGCATACAGAATCGATTTGAGCTATAAAAACAACCTGGTCGGAATAAATCTTCGCGGAAGTTCTAACATTAATGTCTAAACGGCTGGAAAAATGAATCATTAAAACTGTATAAACTATATTTGTATTGATATAATAACTAAAAAAAAACATTTTTAGAGTCGAACCCATTAATTTCATTTTATTGCTTAATTTATTTTCAATGCTATTGTTATACTTTAATAACTGCTTGGCATTTGGCGATTTATTTAAATTAATTTGACACTTATGTAGTCAATATCCGATATTGCTAGGAAACGAAAAACTTCATAGCACTATATTTATGCTAATGTGCCAAATAAATACTTTAAAAGTTATTTTTATGTTATATATAATTATATTACCATATTGTAATTTGTAAAATAACTTTGTTACAATTATATTAACAATATTACTGATTATACAGATATATTGGCAGTTACAAGTATTCCAAATATTTTTTAATATTATTCTGTGCATCTTAAATTATTTTAACTGTATTAATTATCAAATTTTGGTATTCTACATCGGAACATTTAGTTCAACTGCAGTATATTTAAGATGCTCTAACTCATTATAATATATTTATAATAGTGAATCAATTTTACTTCTATATTTCTACAAATTTTAAGAAAAATAATACTCTAATTAATTTCTTTCATGAATTATGCATTCAATAACAACATTTGAACTTATTCATAAAATCAAAATTATTTGATAATTGTTTTAGGTATTCCTAATGAAATATTTTGCTGTTTACTATACTCAATCTTAACATTGGATATTTGCTAATTTACATTTATAAATATTCTTATAAAAAATGTGATAACTCTGTAATTTTTTATAACGATTTAGGTAAGAAAGCTTTAACATGACAGAATTTCACTAAAAAGAAAATCACCAGTCAGTTATTGTGTAAATGCCCTACAAAAAAAAAAAAAAAAAACTAAATGTTATTTCCGATATCAAGGAAACCCTCGGGGTAAATCTTGTGAATTTGATCTCGTGTACATCTAACCTATTAAGTTACAATCACTACTTGACCATTTGATTTTATCATCGGATCTCTTTCAAAAAAAGGATCCGTCGCTTTAGATCTAATCCCTATGGCCAGGAAAGGGGTTTATTAGAGAATATACGAAAATTGAAAGTAAGACGAATGAAGCTTATTGGCAAATTTTAAGCCGTGTATAATTTTTTAGTTACTGATAATTTATAATAAACAATATTTTTGGAGTCGTGATCATTCAATGTGCCTCAATATGTATACGGATGCGTTAGTAAATAATTGTGTAATACTATTATGTGCATTGTTTACAATTGTTTCATTTAAGTTTTATACTTTTTTTTTTATCATTCAGGACTCACAGTCATTGCTGCAAAGACCAATAAACATCTTTAGCTAAAAAAAAACCCTCTCTATCGTTAACCACCAAATACCAAATCAATATTTGTAGTTTGTTAGTCTACATATGTACTAAATTATATAAACTGATTAGTAATGCTTTGATTAGATAAGATTTAGTAAACAATTATAAACAAAAGTAATTTTGAATTAAATTTTTTAGAATTTTATTATAAATCTGATATGTATGTAGGTAAATTTATTGTTCTAATCGGTAAATAATAATATACGAATTTAACTTTGATTATTATGTAAATATCATATCATTCATATCATAATTTTCCAATATAAGTTATAAACTGATCAAACCACTGGTATTATTCGGAGTGAGCTTTTTTTGACTTATAAAACTTGAAATCATTTATAGTTTTAGTTTTTTTATAGTAAGAACTTATTACTTTGATACTACCCTTTGATTTCAGTAAAAATTTGCAATACTTGTCTAATAATTTACTCCATAGCATTATACAATTTTTAGATTAATAGAATCAGTGTAGTGGAATTTCCGATTTGCTCTTGATGTATGGATAGTGTATTTTATTTCTTTTCTCGGTCGCGCATAATTCACGATTCATTTTAATAATTACATTATTATTTACATTATGTATTTCAAAATGTTTTATTTATAATCTCTCAAACGTAAACATAATTTACATTCATCAATATTAACATTAATATCAACTGCTATGTTCTATAAAAATTATTTTATATATTTGAATAATAATTTTATTATTGAATATCGTTTTTAATTCGTCTAGACTTTTATATTACATTTACTACCATAATATTTACAAAATCACTTTAATTTACATAATAAAACACCTTAGCATTGTCTTGGTAACTCATATTTCATGATTAGGAAAAACTATTCCTGTTGACATAACCTTCACCTTAAAACAATTCAAAAGAAAAATGTAAATTAATGTAGTGATATAGTTTTAAAAATGTCATCTTTGAATATAAAAATATTTTAAATACTTATTTTATCATTTAATATGAGATAATATTCTATATAACTATAAAAATAATTTAGATTAAGAGGTATAAATATTTTGTTAACCAATTATATTAGAAGTTTTGCGCAAAATAAATATCAATAATAAAATCATGTTTTAATGTTATTTGTTAGTGATTATCAATATTAAAATAACTTAAATGTTAAATTATTACTATCACATTTTGGTTGTACTAACCTTCTATATCTAGTAAATCTCGAATAACAACTTTTTTATAACCGCTTAAAATTTAAATTACAGTAAATTATATAAATGTTATTTGGAGATTTACTTGTATTATGAATAATTTGTAGTTTTGATTATTATAATTTAAAATTTAAATTCAATATTTTTGTAATTATATTTAGTGTGTTTGTAGATTTACGATTTCTCTTAAAACCGTTTTTGGAATGCGATGATTTATAATTTATTTCAAGATTAAAGACACCAATCTTAATAATACACTGAATTCCTATACCATACATAAATAATATTTATATATTTATACATATTATGTATATTATAATAATAATAAAAATAAGTTATTTTTCAAAAATTTCAACATTACTGCAGTTATGTTGTTATGTTTAGGGTTTTGATAAATGCGTGTAAAATTAGAACTTCATAGCTTATGAGTTTGTAGACGAATAGTAAGAAAACACTAAACTGCGTCATAAATTTACTTCAGCGATTTTTTATTAAATACTATTTCACTATAAATTGATAAGAAATAGTAGTATAAATAATATTTATAATGTAATAGTAATCTTATTTATAAGCTATATGGTCGAAAAAAGAAAAAGAACATTAATACTTAATTATGATATTGTTTTTTTACTGAAAAAACCGATTAATATTAGGTTTGATTAAAGTGTATTACTGTTAAATATGTATAATTACTACTGTCTATTTCACATTCTTATTTTGACTTTTGCTAATACTGTGTATACACGTCCTACTTACATTTAGGTTACGACTTACAGTTACAATAAGGCGCTGTTTAATACTTAATGTTGTTTTTAATACTGTGCTAACGCAATCCTATGCGTTCGCCGTAGACCCAGCTGAATTTTATATTATACACATATACACACAGACGAGGAAATGAATAAAAAATACAATACGTTTAAAGTGCGCATATGAGTGGTGGTGGTGGTAGCGTGCGGGACACTTGTCCAAAATTGATTTCAACGTTTTCCTAGTGCTTTGCTGATGCTCTCTACTGAGCAACGGCGAACGGGATAAGTTCGAGCCGAAGCGGAGTGGTGTACGAGGGGTAAGAATAATTCAACCGTGGTTCGGTGACTGAGAAATTGAAACGAGATCCCTTTTCGAAGACGTGGGTGACGGCGGACGGTGGTGCGTGCGTGCGAGTGCGAGGGATCGGGAATTTGCGATTGTGCATGTGCGAAATGAGATTTGATATGTGTAGTAGAGAGGTAATATTCGCGCACGCTCTCGTACGTACGTATATGTACGTCGTATGCACACAGGCGGCGGTGCGTTCATCAGGGCTGCCGTGCCGTCGCTCCTTCGTTTTTTTTTCCTCCCCTCCATAATCCTTACCGACGCCGCATCCCGTCGTAGTCGTCGTCGTCGTCGTCGTCGTCGTCGTTCTCTCGTATACTATTCTTCGCTCCGCCACCGTCTCCGCGCGACTCCCCCCTCCATCGGTCTTGATACGACCCGTATGTGTGTATGACGTCTGAGCCCCGTTAGAAAATTGCCGAGGAAAAACTCATTTTCGCATTTTCCTCCTTTACACACAATCCGCCGCGTACACACGTACATATACACACGCTCACACTCCCCGCCCACTCGAGTGTTTGTACGTATATATATGTGCGCGCATACGCATGTACGTACACGTGTGTGTGTATTTGTGTGTGTATCTACGTTCTCCTTCTTTTTTATCCGTAATTCCTTTTCGCCGTTAGAGATCCAATCAGCTCTCTCCGGTTCCTCCGCCCCTTCTGGGCTTTTTTTAACTTTGAATTCCCCACCGCCACCTCTGACTCGTATCCTCATGTGTGTGCGCGCGCGTATGTATATGTACATAC